CATACCAAAATTGGATAATAATTTCTACATTATGTTTAATACAAGTGTGTCAAAATGCAGTTTATAGGGGGCCTGGCCCTAGCTCAGTTCTTTGGCTGGGGAAAATGGCTCAGTGGAATAAACACTTCCCTGGCAAGTGCAAGGGCCTGAGTTCAATCCCAAGTTCCGCCAAAAAAAAATGCTGTTTATAAAAATATAGGTAATGTTAGAATTACCCTTAGTGAATGTTTTTGGGTTTAGATGCCAGATAAAATAAGTAGTAGGCCAAAAGAATAATTGCTAAAGAAGAAGAAATCTCTGTGTGTTGTACATGGCACACATGTATTATATATAAACACCTTTATATAGTCCATAAAATATTCAAAGCATCCTTTGGATTTTCTTAATGGTTCTTGGAAGCCTAATCATATCTTGTGTTATTTTTCATTGCTCATCATGTAGAAAACCTTATACTTTTATTTAGGGGCATCAGTTATTATTATTAACACGAAGAAATACCTTATACCATCATCATCATCATCATCATCATCATCATCATCATCATATGTATCATTTGTGATGTTGACTTCATTTTTCGTAGAATACACAAATATACGAGAAATGATTATCGGTGTTCTTGCAGATGACGCAATGACAAAAGCTAAAATTGTATACTTTTGAATGTTATTAAATATTGAAGAGTTGTTTCATAACCTTTTAACTAGCACCTAAACAATCTACTAGACATGTTCTATATGAATAGGATAGTGAATTAAACAATCACAAGCTTACATTAAACTTACACTCTGTACAACTGAACTACACTGCCACCTGTAAAAAATATAAAACACATTCTTCCCGCAAATCAATGGCCTTTCAGAATTTTCAAGTACTACATATGATATTATTTACAAGTTATGCACATGCATACACAAAGTTAATTATTAATGAAACTAGAATCAGTGTCATGAAAAGTTCATTATGCTCTGAAAGTATTAGGTGAGTAAGAGAAAGAAATGAGTGTTTTTTTTTATGACCAAGGAAGAGATAAGTAATTAATAAGAGTGGATTTCTGCTGACTTATGTTAAGGAAGCTGCAGAATCACAAGAGTCTCTGAGAAGAAAATGAAAGTAACTGATGGGAGATAATTGCTTTAAATACTTGCCTATTTTTAATACTGTGTGAGGGGTGGGGGAACAACTCACTTTTATAAGCAAAACAAAACAGTAAATCCATACAACCTTTCCCAGGGCAGAGTATCAGCCCATGGAACACACATGCCCGAATGAACCTGAACATCGTCATCATTCCACTGATAATGGTATATTCATTCTGCTGCTTGAAGAATATCTGCACTTTATAATCACTACAAAGTAATATGATCTGGCTTAAATCCCATCTGAAGATAAAGAGCTATTTCTTCACATTAGTCAAAAAGGGAAAAGAAAGAAGCAACGTGGTAAAGTTGATTTTTATAATATCCCTTGAGTTCTGATTATTCAATATGATGGTTGCAAAAATAAAATATATTAGAGAAATGCTCAAGAACAAAAGTAATGTAGAACTATGAAAGCTAAAACAAATGATAATTGCATAAAGCTGGAGTAAGTCAACAACATGGAAGACGGTGGCACAGACTGATGAGACAGAGCCCTGTTGGCTCCAGGTGGGCAGAGCGCCATCTCAGAGATGGCATCTAGCCTTGCTTCATGGCCTGGGATGGACCCCGAGTGTCACATAGCCTGGACTGCTGTACATGGTAGGAGGAGGAGGCACTGGGTGCTGGGTGTAAGTTAGGAGACAAGGCTATCCTGTCTGAACTTTAATCTCTTACCCTGCTTCATCATCCTTTTCAGCATTCTATTGAAAGTAAAAATATTAAATAATTTTAAGATTTAAAAATTTTAAATCATACAAATTTTTTTGGCTGCAAAAATATGAAAAGTTATAAATAATAGATTTTTGGAGTCAACAGGCATAGATCTTTTGGGATACTCCTCCCTGGAACTGTTAAACTTCTTTTAAAAAAATATTAAAAGTGCTTTCTACAAGTTGTGCACATATGTACAGCCTTTCGTCCTTACGCTCACGTTTTGCTCTATTATTGAGCTACCTTTTGTGAGGGAGGTTGGGTGACAGGGGATGAACACAGACCACTGTTTATGATAGAGTCACAGTGGACAACTGAGCTGTGTCCTAGTTGACAATTGATTTGTAGTGCCGTTCCCTTACGTGACATCCTCAGAGTAGTTCATATGCAACTGATTTTCACGAGCTGAACTTCAGTTCGTATTTTGATTCTATCACTTCCCGGATCTACTGTCTTGGCAATATATTTTATATATATATATATATATATATATATATATATATATATATATTACAGGATCCACAGGGTCTCACTACACGAGCCAGAGTCATAGCGATCCTCCTGGTTTCAGCATCCCAAGCACTGGGCTGACAGTCATGCATCATCATGCCCAATCTCAGCGCCATCACAGCGCACCTCAGGTGTGGGGCTGGCGTGACAAGCTGGGGATCGAGCCCAATCCCTGCATCTGCCTAAGCAGGCACTTTTGTCCACTGAGCTATCTGATTGATTGTCCCTTGACAATATTTTTGAGCTTCAGTATTCTTTAATTTAGTGTCTTTCCCTACCTAGAATTTAATATTTCATAATTCTTGTTCCCAAAACTCCAATTTTCAACTGATCAATAAGAATAACTTTCATTCATTATCCATGCAATGTATCATGCATGGAAAATAGATTTTTCTGATTATTTTCTTTTTTAGAATATATTTATAGTAAATGTGTGTGTTTGTTGTGGGTAACTGATACTTGTATATAAAATATCTTAGTTAATTTTTTTTCTTTCTCCTCCCCCTTTCCTTGATCCCTTCCTTTTAATCCTTTTCTACAAATCTGTCCTGCAAGCCATTTACATTCCTTGTGTGAAGTTGATTCATGGCATTTCACAATTACTTTTCTCATCCTTCCTCTCCTTCATCCCCTTCACCACTGAGAAAGATCTGTCTCCTTGATTCGGGTCATCTGCCTTTTTGCCTTTTCTTTACTCTTTGGGGTTCTCCTAAGAAAAAATCATTTAAAATTTAAGCTTCAGTAAAGCATTTATTTCACTTAACAGTATGATATCAATGTGTATCCCTTTTCCAGCAAATAAATCAAGTTTATCTTTCTATTTGGCAGTGTAGTATTCCATGGTGTTTAAGTCCTTTGTGCATTATCTGTTGGTGGATACACAAGTTGCTTCTAAGATTTAGCTTTTATGACTTGTGCTGCTATAAACATGCTTATGCAAATATTTAGCACTTTAGAGAAGATATCTAGGACAGAGCTGAGTCAAACACAATTTCGATACTTAGTCTTCTGAGGAATTGCCACACTGATTGTCGTAGCAGGTGACCTTCCTTCCAGCAATATAGAAGGCTTCCTTTATTTCACAAAATTCTAGCCAGAATTTCTCCCTATTTGGTCTTTTAATGATATATATTCTTCTTGTGCTAAGATGAAATCTCAGTATTTTTTTTGTGGTGGTACCATGGCAAATCTTTTGGGTTTTTGTTTTTTTCCTTTTCTTTTTAAATCTGAAAGAACATAGTTTCCTAACCATAGGTGATTAAGCTTTAGAATAGTAATTATTACATGTATAGCCATACACTAATAACATGGTCCATACATTTCTAGAATCCAGTAATAGAAAACATTCCTTGAGCGCGTTAAGTGTCAGTCACAGCATCGTGGGGAGTGCTGAAGCTGGAGATCAATCACACGTGTGAGGCTAAGACAAAGTTGGCGGGAGCACAGGGAGAGCTCCACCGGCCATGGAAACAAGCTGCTCCAGCTTCAAATGGGTTGCTAGGCAAAGTGGTTGGAAACTGACATCCAGCTCCTGAGTTTGCATAAACAAGCACTGTGTAGTTCTCGGGCAGTTCCTCCTTTCCCATCAGGAGAGAGGGCTCCATCTGACCTCAGCTTTCCTCTCTTGTCTTTATTTCTTCATCATCTCATCATTTTTCCCCAAGACATCAAGAGCTGGGCTGGTTCATGGCAAGTGCTGCCACACAGGGATACTCCAGATGAGGAAGCACAGCGAGTGACGGGAGGCTTCTCGGAGGGGCCCAGCAGGGGCCAGTCGCATCGGTAGCGCCAGCGTCCAGCACAGGTGTGCATCAGTCCTGGCATTTTATCAGGTTAAAACTTGGGGCACGGAGGGTCATCAGGGCCAGAAATGGGTTCACTAGGGCCAGAGAGTTAAACCGTAGAGGAGTTATAAAGAAAAAGGGGGGGGCGTAGATGTCTCAGTAGAATAAGTGCTTCCCTGGCAAGTGCAAGGGCTTGAGTTCAATCCCCCGTTCCGCTAAATAATAATAATAATAATAATAATAATAATAATAACAATAATAAATAAAAATAAAGAAAGAAACAAAAAATAGGCCTAGAAGGAGCCAAATGAAAAAGGCGTGGGCATGGGGCAAACAGAGTACCAAGAACTACAGATGTACATAAATGTTCAAAGACGGGTGCAAACGTGTTTGTTGTATTCTTGGTTCCTGCATTTATTTTTTAAGACCATCACAAAGGGTTTGGTTCGGAGCACTATTTTAAATACAAGCAGGGAAAAGACAGCTGAGCCACAGCCCTACCAATAGCACTTCAACCCTCTATCTTTGTTCTGTCAAGTGAGGAAGAAGCTTGCTAGACAAATTCCTCTGAAGTGAGGCCTGCTCAGTGCAAGGAGGGCCCTACACTCTGGTCTCAGGCGGACTCAGCTGGGACTTCCTGGCTGCCCTGGAGCCTTTGCCCTCTGCCCTGGTGCAGGCTGCAAGGAAAAAGCCTGGTTCCCCTGGCCAGGCAGGGGGGACCTGACTGTGCACTCTTGCCCTCGATTTACAAACCGCTGCCACGCACGTGCTCCTGGCAGCAGAAGTGGCCAGAGCCCAGCAGCCCACAGCCTGGTGCCTGGGTTCAGCCACCGCGGCCCGGAGCGTCTGGGGCCGCGCAGGTTGAGGGCACAACACCAGAAACACGCCTGACCACTGAGCCAACCGCACCGGCTCTGGGACCTCCGGGACCGCTGCGCTGCCTCCACCCAGCCACCTGCCTGCGCAGCGCCCTGGAAGGACCGGGGCTTCGGAGGAGCGGAGCTTTGCATCTGGGGCGGCCAGGTGGGCTGGGGTCCTGCCCCATCACGCGAGACCAAGGGGCCGGGGAATGGTTCTCTCGCCTTGCAAGTTCATCACGCGTCCCTCTAAACTCTAGGACACAAGCACCTTCACAGAGCACTCTGCACCCCAGATCCTGCGCTGGCCGCCCTCCCCCCAATCAACGCCCTTTCGCAGCCTTGCAGTATCCATTGCCAATGTTCCATGTTGCCCTTTCAAGGACTACTGGAAGGAGGGTGACTGAGCGGTTGAAAGCTCTCACGGTTCGTCAAGCCCTACACTCTTTTAGTACACATCTAAAGTTAGCCGTGTGACTTTTACCAAAGAAAACCCTGAGTGAGGCCTTTCACGATGAAGCTTCAAGCCCTGAGCTTCCTGGGCCCAGGCTTGCATGCACCCTCAACACCAACATCTGCAACCTCTGCTTCTGAAATCGGTTGCCACAGTTGGGTGCTCTTGTATTCATTCTATTTATTGTTTTTCAGTTTTTTTTCCCCCATATTTTTGTCTATTCATGTCTTATTATTTCATTCTGAATGATGCAATTCTTAAGATGCAACTTCTTATTCATCTATTAATTTACTATTCTTCTTAAAAATTTCATACAATTCATCTTCAAATTTACTCTTTTTCTCTTTGATCTTCTATTTCTAGTCTCTTTAAATCTCACTTTTAAAATTTCAATTGTCATTAGAACTTCTAAATTTCATGTCATTTATAAAACACCAACTTCTTTTCCTGTGCCAGCAATAACAAGCTGAAAAAAATAAAATGATTATGTGCCACTGTTAATAGAAATAGATGCCTTAAAATATTAATTTTTTTCATCAAGTGAACAGTATTTAAAGACTTAAGAAAAAACAAATTGTAAATTTCTATGGAAGGACATTGAAGAAGACCAATGAATGGACATATGCATATACATAATTGTACTGGTCAGACCTAGTTCATACTGTTAATCTCTCACTTGTGCACACCTTACTACCTATATTCTGAGTTTACTTCTTTGATGAATAAAAATTCATTCTAAATCCAAGAGGACAAGTAATAGTAAATTTTTGAAACATGAAGCTTGATTTTCAAGAAATGCTCTGCTGTTGCGGCTGTGTGCGTAACCACACAGCCTACGTCAGTGGAAATGAATGACAGCACAGAAGTCCTAGAAAGTACTGAAACAAGAGTACTTCCTAGTGATGGCTCTGTGAAATGAATTATTTGCAAAGATAAAGTCTGTTCCACAAGGCTGGCCAAATAGCCCAGTGGATTAAAGAGCCTGCAAGCAGGCGGGGGAGCCAGGGTTCCATCCCCGGGCCTGTCGTGACCACCCCACCCCTGGGGGTGTGCTGAGATGGCAGTTGAAACTGGGAATGGTGGTACGAGCCTGTAATCCCAGCTCTTGGAAGGCTGTAAATGGGAGAATCGGTATGAGTCCGATCTCATAGTATGACCCTGAACACCCTGTAGACCCTTTCGTAAAATACAGGGACAAAAAAAGGACTGTTCCACATAAGACAGAATAGTTAATGAGAGTGTAATTCATAGGCTTAGTTTGAAAATTTACATGGTGGTGCACACCTGTAACCCGGGACTTGGAAGGCTGAAGTAGGAAGATCACCCTGAGTTCAACACTAGTCTGCACTAGTAAATTGAAGTTCAGGATGAAATACACTGAGAGATCCTGTCTCAAAACAAGCAAACAAAAGCAAAAGAAAATATTTCCCCTGGTATATTGGCATATAGTGTCTACTAGGATTTTATTTTTGGAGGGGCAAAGTGGAGATGAGATCTTGTTCTAACTAGCCCTGGCTCGGCCAAGCAGCCCAGGCTGGCCTCACCCTCCCAGCAATCCCTCCCTCAGCTGCCCCAGTGCTGACTTCCAGAGTGCTGAAGACATCACTTTGGTTTCAGGCCTCTCCCTCTGGTAGCCAGCCAAGGTTATATGCTGAGCACTATTTAACTGTTCTTCACTGATTGTCCGTGGGCTGGAATCTGTCACAGTTACTGCCCAACTGTCCATTCTTCTGCTTTCATTCGCTGGTCGAGAATGTAACTGTACATAAAAAGAAATTCCTTTCACACTGAAATGTAGGGACAAGTCCCTCAGGGTTAGAGTATCTTTTTCCTTCCTAAGATAATCTTCCCATGTATTATCAGTCTATCTTCTAAATACTTGTCCTAGAAAGTACTGGAACAAGGGATACTTCCTAGTACCTAACTATAACATAGCTATAGTTAGGATAAAGGTTTATCCTAAAATGATGAACGTGTACACAAACTATTCTGAAGGGACAGTATTGTGAATGTTTAGGATCTATCAGCTAATGACAAAGCAGATTTTTTTTTTCTATTTTACCTCTATAGCTCATGATATACGCTGTAGTTTGGATAATTTCTTCCTTCCCTTTCCTCCATCTCCTCCCTTCTCTCCCTTCTCTCTTCTCCTCTCTCTCTCTCTCTCTCTCTCTCTCTCTCTCTCTCTCTCTCTTCTCTCTCTTCTGTCTGTCTCTGTCTCTCTGTCTGTCTCTGTCTCTCTCTCTCTTCTGTCTGTCTCTGTCTCTGTCTGTCTCTGTCTCTGTCTCTCTCTCTGTTTCTGTCTCTCTCTCTCTTCTCTCTCTTCTGTCTGTCTCTGTCTCTGTGTCTCTCTCTGTCTGTCTCTGTCTGTCTCTGTCTCTCTGTCTGTCTCTGTCTGTCTCTGTCTCTCTGTCTGTCTCTGTCTCTCTCCTCTCTTCTGTCTGTCTCTGTCTGTCTCTGTCTCTGTCTGTCTCTGTCTCTGTCTCTCTCTCTTCTCTCTCTTCTGTCTGTCTCTGTCTCTCTCTCTCTTCTGTCTGTATCTGTCTCTGTCTGTCTGTCTCTCTCTGTCTGTCTCTGTCTCTCTTCTGTCTGTCTCTGTCTCTGTCTGTCTCTGTCTCTCTCTCTGTCTGTCTCTTTCTCTCTCTCTCTTCTCTCTCTTCTCTCTCTTCTGTCTGTCTCTGTCTCTGTGTCTCTCTCTCTGTCTGTCTCTGTCTGTCTCTGTCTCTCTGTCTGTCTCTGTCTCTCTCTCTTCTCTCCTGTCTGTGTCTGTCTGTCTCTGTCTCTGTCTCTCTCTGTCTCTGTCTCTCTCTCTGTCTCTCTCTCTCTCTCTTCTCTCTCTCTTCTGTCTGTCTCTGTCTCTCTCTCTTCTGTCTGTCTCTGTCTCTGTCTCTCTCTCTCTCTCTCTCTCTCTCTCTCTCTCTCTCCCCCTCCTTTCCCC